AATTTTTCAGAAAAATACAGTACACACGATACTCCAGTATTAGAGCTATAACCAAGGTGAAATAAGATGAAGAAAAAGAGACAAAAATTATAACCAGTTCAATTTTTCAGAAAAATACAGTACACACGATACTCCAGTATTAAAGCTATAACCAAAATGAGATAAGGTGGAAAAAAAAGAGATAAAAATTGACGATTATAAGATTATAGCAAGTAAAAATTCGTTTAAAAAACGCCATACATTACAAGAAAATCTTGAATATCTATCAGTTTAGAAGCTAACGAGCAACTTAAAGCAACTCGAGCAAGCCGCTCCAAAGCTGACCAGAACTGAAAAAAGAGAAAAAAAAAGAAAATAAGAAAATAAGATGAACAACTACCAAATTTCCTCGGTGGTCAGAGGCGCGGCAGGAATTCCTCCTCGCGAAGGGATGACCGATGCGTGTACGGCGCGCGGGTGAGAGGCGGAAAGCGAGAAGAAGAAAGGTAAGAGGCGCGGGATCCCTTCCCTTTTCGTTCAGAAGCTTGGAAGAAGAGGCTCTCGGCGAGTAGATCGGTGTAGTCGCAGTGCATCGGCTGCTACACTGGCTGGCCGGACGTTCGACGTCGGACACCATCGTCGGGACACTCATGCAACGTGCGACAAAATGCAGCCGACCACGCTGCCCGTTCTGTGTAAGTGTGGCGAACGTGAACTGAACTGGAATCGAATTTCCCTCTCGCGGCTCTCTGCTCCGTGTAAATGTATCAGGCTGGCCCGAGGCTGCCGCACGACTTTCCGTGATCAGATCAGATTTACCTGTATCGGGGGGGAACACATAGGTCCGTTCCTTACAGCGACAGGTAAGAACTGTCCATTGGTAGAGTCCGAAGTCGAACCCGTGTCGAAACTCGTCTCGAACGAGGATCGCATTGTCGCGCGTTAATGGCGAGGGTTTGACGAGGGTTTCCGTGTGGTTCGACGTGGTTTCAGCTACACAGATTCTTAATCGATGGTTGGCACAGAGGATTTGTAATTGATTAAATTGATTAATTATTTGGTGTTTACTAATTGCTGTTGGAGTGTATGGACGTTGGATTGTACGTTGAGCGTGATACGATCGACTGGAGTTTGGAGTTTCGATGTTGCATTATAGTTGAATATTTAATTCGTTTGTTTCGTGATGTATGTTGAGCGTGGCATGATCGATTGACGTTTGGAGTTTCGACGTTGCATTATAGTTAAATATTTAATTCGTTGGTATAAATTGGTGTGCGTTGAGTATGACGTGAGGTTGACACGAGACATTTTGGTGTTTGGAGGTTTGACATAGTATTGGAGTTAGTTGTTTAATTTGTTGATGTAAATTGGTGCAAATTATGGACAGTTGTGGAATATAGTTGATTCGAGATGTTTTGGAGAGATGTTTGAAGTTTGATGTGGTAAAGTTGGATGTTTTAATTCGTTTAGTCATGATTCGATAGTTTGATCGATTCGTGGTATTACAGTTTGTAAGCGGCTCGAGATATTCACTTCTTAACTCGCACATTTAATTTTAATTTTCTTTCATTAAATAACGTTAAATTTCAACGTGTTGTTATCGCATGTTTGCTTGATTCGATTTGCTTGTAGAGTCTGTGGTTGATTCGAAGAGTCCAATTTTTAATGTAGCATCTGACGCAAGATATCATATTTATCAGCTTGGCTTGCGTTTAAATTCAAATGTCCAATTACTGTTTAAACGTGATTGCGAGTGTACGAAAGAAACATCTACAATGGTCTTCTCGGTGATGATCGAAGAAGATCGAAGATTGACAGCTATATTTTATTAATAGAATTATGAAGCTGACATTAGTTGGAATTCAGAAATGATGAATCACACCGTGATCTCCTGGAGAACCAATGTTTCGACATTGCGGGTGTTGCGTGGGAGTGATTTATTTCGTTTGGCATTTACCTAGTGAATTGACGAAATAATTGATCTCTTTTTCATGATCTGATATAACAATGAACTGTTTGAAATTTTTGATTTACATTCTCGCTCGAAAGTTTGGAACACAGTACAGATTCCAACAGAAATAATGACTTCCCTTAGTAAATTATTTATTTATAATTTATTGTTCTTTTACAGTATTGAAACTATAATAATTGTTCGTATTAGACTGATAAAATTAGATTATGATCTAACAATGTAAATTAAATCAGATTAAATGAAAACATTCAGAATTTCGCGATTAAAAGTAATAAAAATTGAATAACATATATATATATATAGTAAAAGCATAGTAATAACAGATTTTTTTAATTTTTATTTATTTTTGTTCAGACGATTTAGCGACTTTTCTCTTAATTATTGAATATGCATCTAATTCGGCTATATTTTCGAGGAATTGCAAATTTCACGTAATTTCACACGATATACGAAAATGTGTAAAATATTCGAATTATAGTATAACATTTGATAAACGATTTTATCTACAGAGGCTCAATTTTTCTCCAATAAAACTCTCAAAATTATGCAAGCATGTCTGCAAGTCTAGTAACGAACCTCGAAATAATTTGTAATGCACGAGGTTTGCGATTACATTTTCACACGTATGTTATATATATATCGGATACGAGCGAAACCTTCGTGATTCATAAACTGTACGAGAGACAGGAAAATGCAAATATATTCTCACGGCTCTGTTCGGTACATAACGAAACGCTCCGTTACGATTGTACGAACGAACGAGAGAGATTCAATTGATCGGAAGTAGCATGCAGATTCGTACAATGGGTTCAGACGAGGCAGAGATCGGAATTTTTGCTGTCGAAACTTCTCACAAATCTGAACTGAACTTTCTGAATTATTTGAAAAATTACCGTTCTACGATATTCTTCTCGTTTCTTGCAAATTACACTCTACGAGGCATAAAGTATTGATTATATTTGTAATTAAAAGTTTATAATTCTCTAGTGTAAAGAAATTCTCTAGTGTCTTTTATCTTCATTTCTAATTCGTAATGTGTGAAATGAAATGGAATTTTTTACGTTTAATTTTGAGGAAATGTATATCTGATGAAGTACGCGTGACGTAACAACAAATGAGATTTTTAATATGAGATTTAATTTAATTAAAATTTTAGCCTTTTTAAATTACTATTTTGCAGTAATTGCTTCTATTTTATTAATGTTCTTACGTTTTACATTATTTCCATACTTTTATTATTTTATTCAAGTGTCTTCGTCTCTCTGTTTTTCAGTATGAAACGAAATGGAGTTTTCTACATTTCGATTGAAAAAGATATTATAAATTTTTTAATATATTTAATAAATTACGTGCAAATTGATGGTAGGTGATCTCGTAATTATTTTATACCGCTTGTTGCAGTTCATTGTTTACCTCATCGGATATACACGCAGAGATTGCATAACGTCCTTTCACGGATAAATTCTCACCGTCATTCGTGCATCAATCAGTAGCTTGATCGAATTGTAATTTAATTTAACGTGGCTACTGGTTTCCGCGTGACGAGAATGAGAACGAAGTGTGAAAGAAATAAACGAAAAGCAGAATAAAATAAAGTAGAGATAATAGTGGAAATTTCACGATAAACTTTGCTATAAATAAACAAGCTTGACTTTGATTAATATCGATGAATTATAAATTACAAGTGAATCACTGAATAATACATTTTCTCAACCATAAATAATTCTTATCTGTAAAGTTTCAAGAAATTCGAGAATTTAGGTAAATTAGGTGTAGTTTAGATATCAGCAACTTACATTTTGAGGCGAATCAGATCCACACAACTGTAACGGCACGTGTGTTTAATAGGCTGGAACGAAATTTCACGATAAAAGTTGGCGTGACTTAATAACTAAAATCTTCTAGATTTGTCTGTTATTAAATCTGTAGGTTGCGCAATGAATTCAACGAATTAACATGAAAAATCAGTCAGGCGACCTGGTCTTTCACGATCCGTGGTATGCACAGGTTCCCAACTTCTTAGCCGCGCATCTTTGTGACCTTTCTTGCCTCATCTTTTTAATGTCAGCAACTACCGGGGGTACAGAGCCACTTGGCAAGGATCACTTTTATCTCTTTATCTTTCTCTCTCTCTCTCTCTCTCTCGAACAGAAGGATCGATCGTTCCAAGGAATCCGTGGAACTTCGATTGTCAATAATAATTGCCCCTCCCACAACACAACGCGGTGTGTCCCGTTATCTCGCATTCCCAATGACATCACCGTACGCGCGCTATACTTTTTTAATTGGGTTACACGCGAGAAAGCGACCGAGACAAGCCTGAAACTGCTCTGCTACGGTTTTTCTTTTCCTTTTTTCTTTTTTTTACCGAACGACTGCGATACACGTGTGTCACTGGCTCGTTGGGAAACGTCTCGATTCGCTCGATCGATCGAACTCTATCGTGTCCGTCCTGAACTGTTCGTTCAACAGTGGTGCATTTAAGGATATAATTCTCGCGTTGCAATTAATTTTAAGCTGTAATCGTTTCAATTTCTTTTTTCTTTTTTCTTTTCTGTGATGTTTGATTTTAAACTAACAGTTGTTATCTATAATTACTTCGATTTCTCTTTCTCGTGTTTGGTTTTGAACTGTGTCATTTATCAATCGTATCACGTGTAATTATGTATTTTGAATTTTGAGCTAATAATTTTCCACGTCTGATTTTGCAAATTTAATTTTAATTAAATGTATGATGTGTATGATACAATAGATTCATAAACAGATCCCATAAATGACCAAATACTTTATAAATGTCACAATATTATGTTTAATCTTGTGTTGGAAAATTTATTTTTATTTATCAATTTGACGTAAATTAAACGTTAGATCGAAATATTTGAATAATAATAAATAAATCCACTTAGGGGTTACGGTCACCAAACGGTGACCAAATAAATGTCACAATATTATGTTTAATCTTGTGCTGGAAAATTTATTTTTATTTATCAATTTGATGTAAATTAAACGTCAGATCGAAATATTTGAATAATAATAAATAAATCCACTTAGGGGTTACGGTCACAATTGAGAAAGATCTATATTCATAAATAGTTCCCATAAGTGACCAAATAAATGTCACAATATTATGTTTAATCTTGTGCTGGAAAATTTATTTTTATTTATCAATTTGATGTAAATTAAACGTCAGATCGAAATATTTGAATAATAATAAATAAATCCACTTAGGGGTTACGGTCACAATTGAGAAAGATCTATATTCATAAATAGTTCCCATAAGTGACCAAATAAATGTCACAATATTATGTTTAATCTTGTGGAGGAAAATTTATTTTTATTTATCAATTTGGTGTAAATTAAACGTCAGATCGAAATATTTGAATAATAATAATTAAATCCACTTAGGGTTTAAGGTCACGGTTGAAAAAGATCTATACTTTATATTCATAAATAGTTTCCATGAGTGACCAAATACTTCATAAATGTCACAATATTATGTTTAATCTTGTGGAGGAAAATTTATTTTTATTTATCAATTTGACGTAAATTAAAGGTTAGATCGAAATATTTGAATAATAATAAATAAATCCACTTAGGGATTAAGATCTCTACTTGCTCACGAAATCTCTTATGAGTTACGTTACTTTAAAATTTCACTAACCTGAGAGTGAGATCCGGCTATATTAATTAAAATACAAATTTCACGTAGAAATCGACGTGATCAAAGTGATCAGTTCAATTTCAAAAAAATTAATAATCCGTTGCAATCCGTTGCAAAAATCATGATCTATTGCCAAAATCGTGTCGTAAGGGAGCAAGCAGAAAATGAAATCGCGCTTTTTTCTCGTGAGCCTCCGGCTAGTCCGCTTCACCTAACAATTTAGGCGTTTAAGATCATTTAGAAGAGACACCTACCGTTTCTTAATGATCGCCACTCTCTTTTTTTTTCTCTTTTTTCCTCTACCTGTTTCGTGCCACGTAATTCGTGATTACTGTTAGAGGAATCTCCGTGTTCGTTTCGACATTTACAAGTAGAACCCTGTGGCAACTAATTCATATTTGCGGACCGTGTGTTGCGTTAACCAGGAACACTAAATTTCCATCGCCTCTGAAGCACGCTCTTGTTACTGCAAGAGACCTGTTGGCTTCCAAGAAAAAGAATCTTTAAGATGGCGAAATATTAGTGAGGCAGTGGCTGCATCATTAACCGGTTGCCGGGTGACTATAATTTCAGAAACAACGTCGGTATTGTATAATATTTCTCGGCTCGAGCCTACGTGCTTTTGGTTTATTCAGTTTTGTCATTCAATTTCAACGCAAATAGAAGAAAAAGGGCAATGAATATAAGATCAATTGATTCTTCTTCCTGTTCCTCTTGCCTTGGGTTAGATTTGGGTACCTTTTTTGCTTTGAATTTTGTCCTTTTTTAATTGTACACGACACTTTTACTATTTGTGAAATGTAAAAATGAAAATTTGGTTCGTTTGAAGTTTCGCAATGTTGACGTAAATAGAATAAAAAGGAGAGTATGAGAACTTAACTTTTTTCTTCTTCTGATTTACGTATGAAATACTATTATATAAAATACTAATTAATATATATATACACACACAAGCTTCTATTTATGTTTTCTTGAAGATCATAAATATATAAGATTTCTATGGAAAATTATAAATTGACCATTTTGGCCATTTCTAGTAGTTCTACAATAGTATTAAACAATTCAAATTATTAATATTATTACTGAACAGAATTTTAACGTTAAACATTGTGACAAAACTTTCAAAAAATTAAATCATATTAAAAACGGATGAAAAGTGATAAATTGGAAATTTAATCCATTCCACACTGACAATAAAAATAATAATAACAATATTAATAATATTATTAATATTGTTTCAAAATAAATCGTAGTATTGACAAACTTCTCAAATTTTCTTTGCTTTCTTTGTTTCAAAATTCGAAGAAAAATTCTACTCGAAAGACTCGTGCTCGTATTTTACATAAGTTTTCACGAAAATGTTGACCGAAATGACAAAAGGTAATTTCTTTTCGCGCGACTCGTCAAACACAGTTATCAGCACATAGTTAACGAGCTCGTAGTTCCGGAAATTAGTACAGACTCGAACGATTAACGCTGTTAATGGCGAAAGTATGCACACGATGATGCTAATGAATCCTCTGCACTCGCTAACGTCTCGAAAATTCGCTCGATTTTTGCCACTTTTACTTGCTCACTGGTCAACTTTCGAATTCATCTCGCAACTTAGTCTCGCGTAGGCTCAAGGATTATTCCCCAAGAATTCAAATTCAGTCGTGTATTTTGATCTGTACGAGCGTCGTCCTTGTGGTTTTATAATGAAGTTGTATACTTCGCTTGATACGTATGTCTACGCGATTTGATCTTGACACGTTTCTTTACTCTTACAAACTGAAACACGCCTGTTTTTGCAAAACACGAACAGAACGTGCCACTTTTCGTGAAATATTCGAATACCGGTTCTAACGTTCCCAACGAAACACCGTGAGCCGTTTACTCTCGAACTTGTGATGGAATTTGTCTGTAACCAGGTCGTGAGACTATTGTTTCACTTCGCTTCATTGTTTTACGAGATTGAATGTTAATTTGACAGATTGATGTTACTCTCAAGTGTCTTCCTGATCGAATATTCTACTGAATTAATAGCACAAAAATTTGGTCGAATGGCTAATCCGAACATCCAATAATAAATTACTAAAATGACGAATTCGTGAACGTATAGAATGGTAACTTTTTATGGTAACATAATAATATCTGTCGTTTCTGGCGTTCGATTGGACATTTGAATTGATAGTTCAAGTGAAATTGATTGCCTAATGATAAATTACCAGTCTGATAAATTAATAAATTAATGAGATGGTAATTTTTTATGATAGGGTAATGATATTAGTAAAATGACAAATTCGTGAACGTATAGAATGGTAACTTTTTATCGTTAACATAATAATATCTATTATTTTTGGCATTTGATTAGACATTTGAATTGATAGTTCAAATGAAATTCATTGTCTAATGATAAATTTCTAAACTGATAAATTAATATATTAATGAGATGGTAATTTTTTTATGATAGGGTAATGATATTACTAAAATGACGAATTCGTGAACGTATAGAATGGCAACTTCAACATAATAATAACTATTATTTTTGGTATTTGATTAGACATTTGAATTGATAGTTCAAATGAAATTGATTGTCTAATGATAAATTACTAGTCTGATAAGTTAATAAATTAATGAGATGGTAATTTCTTATAATAGGCTAATGATATTACCAAAATGACCAATTCGTGAATGTATAGAATGGTAATTTTTTATAGTAACATAATAATATCTATTATTTTTGGCATTTGAATTGATAGTTCAAATGAAATTGATTGTCTAATTGATTGATAAATTGCCAGACTGATAAATTAATAAATTAATGAGATGATTAATTTTTTATGATAGGGTAATGACATTGCTATCTAATTATTTGTTATTTAATTGAATTAATAACTCGCAGAAGCGACGCGGTGTAAATGGATGTTTCGATTAGGGGAGACTGTAAAAAGACGATGTTTACTCGCAGAGGATCCGGTGTTGGAATGCTGGAACGTTGTACGCATATGTAATACGAAGTAGAAAGTGGAATTCGCGAATCGGGAGATGATAAGCGCATACGTCATTCGTCCTGTTTGCAAGAGTCGAAAATACAAAGAGACTGAGAGCCTACAGATGTTTCGAACGTTTGAACATTGAACAATCAAATACCGAGATTAATAACGTCGCGCTGTCCAAGATGAATTGGAGGAAAATTGAAAATTACTTTTCTTTCGAGAAAGAATTCGAACGCTTACAGGAATATTTTGTGAACATATCACGTGATATTGCGTAACTTTTCGATGACTATCATAATTATATTCATCAAATTTGAATGCAATCTGGAAGCTACGAGATATTAGTAAAAGAATTATAGTCATCGTAATCACGTAATATTATTTAATTGATATTTGTTAACACAACAAGTAATCGAATAGAAAATGGTCACCTTGGAAAAACGAGGATGTAAAAATGTTCAACGATTCTAGGTACAGAATTATTGTTATATTCAATTATTTGCTCGTTTGCAACTTCTAGATCTCGGGCAAATAAGGAAACACCGCTCGTGCGTTTGTTTTTTTCAGATCATCTTGAATTTTCGCGTCTGTCTAATTGTTTTACACACGTTCTTAAAACATTTGTCAGCGAAACATCCTCAAACGTGGACGTTTCTCTTTGCGCAGGTCTCGTGACGCTGGTCTTGTGCAACGTTCACGGCAGTCTTGAACATGAAATCCCAAAGAGAAGCTTCCTGTCACGAAGAGCTATCGATGGCACCAGGGGCAGGTATTGATCGTTCGTTCGTTTCGTTTCGTTTCATTTCGCGTGCACTCGCACACGGATGCGTGCCTACGATTAACCAGCCTATGATGTCGTTCCAGGAAGTTCTTCGATCCGGAAGAAGAGGGAGCGTTTGACAGTTATGGATCTGCAGGTGGCCAGTACGATCCTTACGAGGAGAAAACAGGTAGATCATTTTTATCGTGTTCTCTCCCCCTTTCTTTTTTTTTCTTTTTTCTCTCTGCGTGGAATTCTTCGCTAATTAGCGCCACGTGTAATTTCAACGGTGTAATTCTGAACCAATCAACGAAGGTAGGATCAATCGAATTTGTTAAAATGACGGATCTTAAATCCCTTTGCTTTCGTTCTTTTTTTGTCGCGACAAAACGTATTGAACGTGTTTGGTTAGTTAAATGTTAAATATGTTCGAGGGTAAAATGTGTGAAAAGGGATTCTGAAGAATATATACATATATGTATAATATATATTATAATATAATGTATTATATAGTTATTATAATATATTATAATGTATTAATTATATAATATATTATATATTATAATAATAATTATAATATGCATATAATAAATATATATTGTAATAATAATATATATTATAATGTATTATATAGTTATAATAATATACAATATATAATGTAATATAAGTATTATATACTATATATTATAATATTGTAACATATATAATACATGCAACATAATATATGTATACGTAGCATAATATATGTATATGTAGCATAATAGAATATATAAAAATACAGAGAAATATTATTTGATCTAGCTAATACAAATTTAATTAAATTATTAATACTTTGATAATTCAGTCAGTAGTACCAATGAATTGATAGTAGTATGATGTTAATGTACTATAATAATAATGAATTTATCTTATGTTAATAAAAATAGAAATAATTTCATGCAGAAAATTATACAAATTTTTAAATATGAGAGCAAAGTGTTAGTTGTCTTTCAAACTTGTGGCAGTATCATATGATATCAATATACTATACTGATAATGAATTTATCTTATGTTAGTAAAAATGAAATAATTTCATGCAGAAAATTATACAAATTTTTAAATATGAGAGTAAAGGGTTAATTGTCTTTCAAACTTGCACGGTAGTATCATATGATATCAATATACTATAATGATAATGAATTTATCTCATGTTGGTAAAAACAGAAATAATTTCATGCAGAAAATTATACAAATTTTTAAATAAGGGAGTAAAGGGTTAATTGTCCCATAAACTTTAAATTACGACAAATATCCAGATACTGTCAGCCATCGTGATAATTAATGGTCGGTGAATAATGCCACGGGACGAACAAACTTGGTGGCATTATGAATAGAAAGATCGTTAACAGGAAACGACGATAACCATCTCTAAAGTGATTTTATTATGAAAATAATCAGTCGGAGAATGGGAAGGGGGTCAAGGAGTCTCTTATTTTCTCAGAGTTTCCAGTATAAAAAGAAAAAAAGCTGAAATTGTCTTCTTACTAGATTCCAATTCCGTGGAAGAATCCTCATTATTTCTCAATTTTCCATTTTCCATTTCACCTTTGTGCGTTAGTTATTTCATACGTAGCGATTAATAACTCTTGACACCATTCTTAACCATTGACACGATCGTCTCAATGGTAGTTTGCGATTAGCATATAACGAAGCGCAGGCAAAGGACTAATGAAAAATATTGGCAATATGTTAATTATTTGATGCTTAGGCGGTAATGTTATTCATCTTCCTCCGTTTTTACGACTGATTACGCGTTGACACCGATTCTGATTCATTAATGCAAAAATAGAATCGCTGTTTATCGTTGTTATTATTTGTCGTTTGTTAGATGATTTTATACAGACTCTTCATAACCAAAGATTTCAATTCAAATGATTAAGAGGTTACAATCTGTACCAAGTGTTAGAATTTTTATAACGAAATAAAGAAGATTTTATTTGCCTGTTTTATAAAAAAGAAAAAAATCATTCGGAATTTTTAAAACTTCATCGTTGCAAATCCACAAAGTTTCTATTTTAAATAATTCGTCACTTTGACAAATAATTCCGATAAATTCTTGGTGATCTTTGAGGCTTGTTCAACTTTCCTAAAAGTGTCCTAATATTTATAAACATGTCGACAAGAATATATAAAAAAAAAAAATTCGTTATAGCCGTTGTAGAAATACGAAGCGCGAAGAAAATGAAAAGAACATAGAGACTTGATTACAATTTCGTGTTTTCATATTGCAACTATATTTCAGAGTTAGCCGCTAATCTCTTTCTAATACGTAGAGAAATCTTTAGCACAAGGTGTAATCTCGCTACGAAGGTCTATTGAAACGTGATAAATTACCACCTTTGACATTAGCTGCAGGAATTATGAGAAAATCAGTAGGTGAATCCAAATTGCCAAGGTCTCTAAAGAATACGAAGAAAATAACTATCGACTATATATTTTACAAGTTCTCCTCTTCCTTTTTACATTTCTTCGTCTTACGAAATACGAATCTTCATAGTGTACATTTGCAAATTTTTAATATTTAGAAAAGAAATCAAAGATGTTTTTTTTTTTACGGTTTTTGGAAACGGTTATTACAAATAAATCACAAGAAAAAACGAAGTTTATTATAAGTAATACAACTGCTACAGTTCATCTATTAAGAACCAAATTATTTATTAAATTATAAATCATAAACATTTCAATTCCTTCAAATTTTTTCTTCACTGAACTCCTTCAAATTCCTATTCTTGTGAAGATAATTAAAAAATTAGAATCTAGCTAGCTTCGATTTGTCTATAATATAATATTTTATTATATAATACTATAATATAATATTTTATTATAATTTATTATATATCATTACACAATTACAGATATTTCATTTTGAATATTTATTCGTGTACATATTCATTTTTATCTGTTTCGTTCTAATTTTCCATTGCATGAAAATCCGCCAGTCCATTTACGATACGATCCAATTAAGATCCATAATCGATATCTTTCTTCCGTTTAAAATTTGAGAGAAATGGACATGGATCTCTGTGATTAAACCATTGCGCCGGCAACTGATTGCGGACCATAACGAGTGACCGAACCCGTGTGATATCACTGGGTAGAAATGATTAAGAAATAACAAACTTATCATTCGTTTTGCCATACATTTAAATATATACCTAAAACTGAGAAAATGTTGCAATCTTGGGACAAAAAGAATTCCGGCGCACGTCATTCCAGCGCAAGAGATTTAATAGAGATTTAATACCTTAAATATCGAGTGATAGACGTTCGCCAGGTTGAAGAAAATAAAAGAAAAAACAGGACGAGAGTCTGTTATGATGTGGCGTGAAAGGCGATAGGTATGACGTATGATGGAAAAATCACCGCAGATAGGTCACGTGAAACCTTTCGCGGATTACAAGAAGCGAACCGAAGGAATCACGTGTGGCGCCGCGAGCCGATTGATCCTTTTAAATGTCACACACGCTCAATTATCTTGGCGAGGTCCTTTTCGCGACCTTGACTCGCCATCGGCCGTCACCATGCTGCTTTGCGCAAGATCCAGGCGTGAATTTTTCGTGCTATTTGAATTTCCAATCGCCTTCGTTTATAATACAGTCGCAGTTTCTTTTCCTACGGATCTCTGTTTCTCAATACCTTCTTCTTCTTCTATTTTTTTTTTTTTTTTTTTAATTAACACTGCGATTACCGATCATTGAAACGTTGAATTTATTTACAAGTGAAAGGAACGAAGAGACGTTTATGATCGAGGCTTTTATTTGCATATTTTTAAAAGCGTCGACGACTTTTGTATTTGTACATAGCTGATTTACAAATCTATAAGATTGTAGATAAATTACAGGCAATTAACGTGAATCTATGCAATTTCGATGGAAAGTTGCGAGTTTAGATTTATTTTAAAATTGATCAGTTGTAAATTTATGTAATTTAAAGTGAACTTTGAGAATTATTCTGGTGGTTCTAATATTCTTTTCAATTGCTGGATCAGTTTTAATTTATGCATTTCGTAATCACATTTTCCAAAACCTTTAGATATTAACCATTATATGTTTATTATTATATCTAGTATCATATGGATATGTTAATTTTGAATACAAGTAGCCTTATTATATTGATCAACAATGTCATCTGAAGAAAAGAGAATTTTCAGGATAGACTGAATTTGTTGCTCAATTTTTCTCTTTTCTATTGAAAATTTCCACAATATACAGTAGTTCAATAAAATCTTAATTAAATTAATTAAATTCTTGCGAAACTGATTGCCACGCCCAAAATAGAACAGGAAATAATTGAAAAATTGAAAAACGTTTCAAGCTTTGCTTATTGACAGATGTCAATGAAACTTCATACGCGTGTCCCTATAAAAAAATTGATACTGCAAACGAACGCAAGTGTGTTTGCTCGAGCAAACAATCAACAGACCATTCACAGTCATCGTAACATTTACTACAATTCAGGATGCACACCTTTCATTCTCAACACATACGCAGTCAAACCGCGTTTGTGTTGAAAGTTCAACGAAATGTTCGCCGCCGTTCGATGATATTTATTTAATGTCATAAGAACAGAATGATTTGCGGGATAGTCGGGATATTCTTCAGAATTTATTCTGCACATTATTATTATCCACGTTGCCATTCATTTCGAATATTTCGTCGATCTCCATTGACGATGAACTTGAATGTAAAATCAACCGCATCACTTTCCCATCCAATTCATTTGTGTAGCATTGTGTCACTCACGTTTGTTAATTCGACGCATTTTGTTCGAATTCCATTAAGACGCGATTGTATTTTTTTCTTTTTTTTTTTTTAGATTTGTCAGATATCAGGAGGAACGTGCCAGGAGAACCAGGTGTTGATTACCCGGCGTACACGACGCTTCCTCAGACCGGGTTCACGTGCGAAGAACGCTCACGAGGTGAATTACATTGTCTGTTTTCGTTAAATTGTGACTTTTTTCTTTTTAATCTAAATGTCGACTCTTAAATATCCAACATTTGAACTTTAATACTAAAATCGTGAAATGTTGCATAAATTTAAATGATATGTACATACGTACACACGTATAACAAATATTGAATCTTAAATATTCAATATTTAAATTTTAATGTTAAAATTTTGAAATGTTTGATAAATTTAATGATGTGGATAATATGTACACATGTACATATGTATACAATAAGTATTAAACCTTAAACACTCAATATTTAAATTTCAATACTAAAATCTTGAAATATTGCATACATTGAATAATATGTATATAATAAATATTAAATATTTAAATTTCTTATGAATGAAATAATAAAATAAAATTAATTATTACGAACGAATATAATTGAAATTTGTATAGACGTTAAATCCCAATATTAAATGTTAAATATTAAAAATATAAAATTTAAGCATCTATTTAATATTTAATATTAGAGCATTATTAGACTGAATGAATAGAACATACAATATGTATTCTGTTGTATAATTAACCGAGTATCTATTTAATCATTTCAGAAGAGATAATATTGGAAGATAGAGTTATCAAAAATTTACAATTAATTCTATTTGCATAACTAACAGAGTAGCCATTTAATCATCTCAAAAAAGACAACACTGGAAGATAGAAAATGTCTGCGGTATTTAACTAAATAGGTTAAATATGGAATTGATGAGAATGCATTTCTTAGATGAAGATGAAATTTAATTCCTGAGAATGAAACTGACACAAATCTACAATATATGTCAATTATCCTTAATTTCACTTCATAATGCTTCACTGCATGTTGAAGAAGAGATTCTGCTGGAACGGCTAATAAATGTAATAACGTCAGAACTAGGCAAGGTTTCACAGAGCAATCAATGATATGACTGTTTAATCTTTATCATACTGGTCGTAGAAACGTGTTTGGAACTGGCATATTAATAAAATCAACAGATTGGTCAAACTGCTTCTGACAGAGTTTGTGGAAATGAAATTGAACATATTAATCATAAACATCACACATCAGAAAAAAAAGCACTGCCTTTTGTACTTCTAAATCAATTTCCTTTTGGAATTCATGTCAAAAATTGATTTTAAATCAAACGTATGAGACGGCAATCTTTAAGAACAATTTAATTAATTCATCAATCAGTCCAGAAAGAGATATTAATATTGTTTTTAATCAAACAAAATTATTATTATTATCAAAAGAAAGAATTATGATATTATATTAACATCAAATAATATTAATGACCAAACTAATAATGTAACAATTTAATATTAAAACAGTGCAACCAATGTGTAACCAAATATAATTATAACTGATCACAACTGACAGTACAATATAATATATATAATATATATAATTGTAATTGTAACCAATGATTGTAACTAACAATAATTACAACAGCAACGATAATTAGTTACAATGATTGTAACTGACAATAATAACTGTAACAAACGTTGATCTGAAACTCCAGCAATTCAAACCAATTCTTCTCGTCAGAAGGCACGAAAAGTATTAATTACAATGCAACGTGCAATCCCATTAATGATCCAAGTCTATCCAAGCTCTATCTTACGATCGATTACCATTGTTTTACACGTGTTCTCCATCGTTTTCCACGTGGAGCATCGATGTCAAGGATGACTCTCACGTACACATGATGCCAGCACGTGCGACCTGCGAAATCCATTCGCAGTGTTTTCTTCGGTTTTGCAATAGGTCACCGTCCCAAGCCGTGGGGCGAAACTTGTCGCAAAAAATCGCACGAAAATGTTTGCCGGCGTACTTTTCACCTGGAAAGGTAAACGTTTCGCGAACGTTCAACGAAACGTTGTTTATCTTTCTGTCTGCCGCGTCTTCGTAAAGTCCAATGAATCTTCTTCTTGCCTCCTGCGTGGACTTTCGATTCGCGGAACGAACGTTCCGAGCACGTTTCGAGGGAGAGAGAGATGTTACAAATAATCGACAAACGTGGTGCTTCAGGTTGATAAATAATTTCAATATATAATATTTGATATAATAATAAATTTTATATAATATAGTTTTAATATTATAATAATAATAAATTTTATATAACATAATTTTAATATTTTAATAATAATAAATTTTACGTAATATAATTTTAATATTATAATAATAATAAATTTTATATAATATAATTTTAATATTTTAATAATAATAAATTTTATATAATATAATTTTAATATTTTAATAATAATAAATTTTACGTAATATAATTTTAATATTATAATAATAATAAATTTTATATAATAATAATAATAATAAATTTTCTGTCTAATCTCGATTTTTCATACGTTCGTTCTCTTGATGTAACTCCTCAGAAATGTAATTGAAACTTAAATGAAATTTGTGTCTATTGTAACCTCTTGAAGAATTTTTAATAACTTGTAACTTGAGACTTTATTTGCAAGTTCAAGAAAAATCAAACAATTGTTGGAAATTAAAGAAGAGATGTTTGACTTCATTGATTTAATTATAACATTAAATTCGAGATCAGATTCAGATTAAAATAAAGTTCATGGAATCATTAGAGCATTTTTAACAATGCAATTAACAACGATCTTGTTATTAAAATTGTTAAAATCTTTTGACGGAAAATTAAAGAAAGAAATTCGACTTCTTACTTTACGTTGGTTTCAAGTTCAGATTAATAGAAATCGAAACTTAGAAAATTCAGAGAAGTGTTGGAAATTTTTGAAATTTGAACAAGAGTGTTATAAATGTTAACTAGATTCGAACGGTGAATGCTCTACGAAATATCGAGTTTCATTCACATTATCAAGAAGAAAGTTTCGAAAAATACAGCGATCTCAAGTTTATCTATTTTTCTCACGAAGAGATTGACGAAAGCATACTCAAGTTTTTCCTCAAGATGTAGAAAACGTCTAATTTGTTACACACAATAGTTGCATCTAGCAACTAGAGACTGAAATACAACAATAATCATACTGTTCATCATGTTGTATGTTTGTCTGTACTGTGTGCAATCGTACTTATTAGTGTAATATCGAGCGTACAAATCATCGTGCAGGCTAGAAGATGAAATAAAAGAAATGGAGAATAATGGCCGAGATGCAACACAACTTGGCTATTATAAAACATAGGTCGATTGTGCAACTTTCTAGTACAGCGTTCAGATTCTAGCCGAAAGATAATGGCAGCTCCATCTTCTCTTACAAAAGTGTCCAACATGTAATTTTGACATAATTATTACTGCCAACTCTTATTGACGCACCTGTAGCACCAAAATTATTTTCTTTTCTCTTTTTTATTTGATTTTGAAATTAAGTGTTTTTTTTTTTTTGTCATCCTCTTGTGAATGTTTTAAATATTAATAACAGAATTTGTGCAAATTCTTTGGAATTACTATTTCGTGAAGTTACAATTTATTTTTTCAGAATTAAAGATTGTCTATTATTCTTGTTTGTAGAACATTCATTTTTATATTGCTTATATAGAACATTATTATCTTATATAAGACTACTAATACTGTTAATTTTCTTGAAGCTACTGTTGCGTGGATTTGTCACCTGTTTTTAGAAAATTCATACTATACAATTTTTTAGAAATTGTCCGTTCACTTTATTATGATTTGAGAATTATTTATTTTATTGCCAATTTTTGTACAATACTATTTGGCAATGAAATTGATTATTGATAATTGAGAATTAACAATGAAATTTGATCATTGCTATTTTGTATAAGATTATTGTTAATTCATAGAAGCTACCATTTTAAGAAATTCATATCGTATAATTTCTAAAGGTTATTTATTTATTTTATCATTGCTTACAGATTGTTTATCTCATCGTTATCGCGTGCAAGATCAGTTGTATCTTTAATTAACTACTTCCAGAAAATTAATGTCCACTCCGTCTCTACAAAATTCACTGTTTACTTTTCATCAAAATAAAAAAGACTCTCCTCACACGTTTCTCTTATTTTCATACACATCAAGAAAATAATGTTTCCTCAGTTTCGTAATTCTTCACTGTGAAAATAACGCGTGCAGTTCGTTAGGAACCTCGTGCACACACCTAATCACCGTTGTGAACAACGTCGTTTGGATAAGTGGCGGGAATTTGAACCAGTTCCAAAGGCAAAAGAAAGTTCAACCTTCGTAGTACTCTGCTATATGGTTTCTTTATTGAGCAATGCCCTGATAATGTTGTATACTTATACGATGTTCCTGGAGAAGCAACAGAATGTCAGCGAAAGTAGCTCGACAATAAAATAAAGGCCAGATGGATAATTTAAACAATACTAGCGCTGTTCGAAAGCTTAGCACGCTGATTATTCAGCTGATTACAAATTGGCCGCGTGTTTGACTTTTGCCGATGGAAAAATAGTGAAAGCCTAACACGTAGGCCTGTATAAAAACTTCTGAACGAGAAGCAATTTCTTTTCTGTTTCTCTGCTTCTCTGTTAGTCGACGTACATATAAATTCATATCTTTATAATTCAGGACAAAGAAGATGAAAACAGCTAAACGTTGGAATATTAAATATGCAATGTTTGTATCGCACGTGATATTAGTTTATATTTTCATATGATGAAGAATGAAGAAAAGGGGAGATATTGAATGATTCAGAACGAAGAAGAAAAATGAAATTAAACGTTGGGATATTAATTGTATGAAAAGTACGAGATTTCTTGTTGTTAGATAGTTAGATGGTTGATTCGTTTATACAAGTTCATATTTTTTTTATGTAATAAAATTTCTAGTAATTCTAATTCATAATAATGAAAAATTCTAAAATAATTAAATAATTTAAAATACAAAATATGAAATAATTCTAAAATAATTAAATAATTTAAAATACAAAATGTAAAATAATTCTAAAATAATTAAATAATTTAAAACACAAAATATAAAATAATTCTAAAGTAATTAAATAATTTAAAACATAAAATATAAAATAATTCTAAAGTAATTAAACAATTAATTTTCAGAAAGTATTAACATATGAAGATTCATAAAACAGAAGAGAGTTAAAAAAAAAACAGTTCAAATAAAAAGATTGAACATGATAGTGAAAAATAAAAGACCCACATTTGTATTACATGTTATACATAAAATATTTTGAAATTTCACGAACACTGTGACGAGAGATTAAAAAACGTATACAGAATTTCGCGTCGTATAGTATAGTATAAAGATTATAATTAATATAGTATAGATTAATATAGTATAGATTCGAGTTTTGATCAGCTTAATTAATACCAAATCAAATACAATTCTAATGTGAAATTCGAAGGTTCTCTTGATCTTTTCCCTTTTCTGGAAGAAACTGCGATAACCATGTGCATGTTTTTCCCATCATCAATCACTGATGCAATAGATATCCATTCTCTCTCTTTCTCTCTCTCTCTCTCAGTCTCTCTCTCTCTCTCTCTCTCTCGTCGAGTGGAATCGTGACAAACGTTCGTGGATCGAAGAGAGCGACTTAATTGAAATTTCCGATCGCGTCGCGATGGACACTGGCTCGTCTTTTCTATCGCGAGTCGAACCTCGCGGAAGAAATCACGCCATTAGATAATTCAAGAGGTGAGAGGAGGAGAAAGAAAGATGTTGAACAAGTACAGTAACGATACTTCGTTCTCCATTACGTAACGTGCATCGAACGTAAACATTTGCTTGCCGCACGATTATTTTCGACGGAAAATGCAGTGAAATGTGGTGCTGGCTCGATCATTAAGATAAAGATCGATCGTTGGAAACACGGGCGTGCTAATTATCGATTGGGTAACGAATCTAATTATTTATATTCTGTTTGGTTCGTTGGAATTCCTCCGTAACGCATTATCACGCTGGAAAGTGAGTATTCGCGGTCGTGATCATTTCAAACAAATTGAAAACACTCATTCCCTTCTCCATCTGCTATTAAACGTATTAAATGAACCATTAGAAGATTACTACGGCGATGATAAGATAATTTCAGAAACGCCTCAGGAACTAAATACTCTCGTTTTTCATCAGGTTACTACGCAGACGAGGTAGCCGGGTGCCAAGTGTTCCACGTGTGCCACGACGTGTTGGTCTCCTCGTTCCTCTGCCCGATAGGCTCCATATTCAGCCAGAAGCTGCTCACCTGCGACTGGTGGACCAAGGTGGACTGTTCAGCCAGCAGCAAGTACATAGACGTGAACCGCGACAGCTACCAGCAAGACGACGACGAGATGATCCGTAAGGCTTACGCCATGATCAGCCTTCAATCGGGTACAGACGTGACGAAGGATGGCCTGGTGGATCCCGATCGAACTGGAAGCATAGTGGACTATCAGAGAGGTCCAGGAAGAATCCTCGACTATTCTCAAGTCGACCCAACCGGGAACGATCTGAGAACGAGCTTCGATTACTCTGCCTCTGCCAATCGGGACTTCATTCCGTCTTCTTATCAGCTGAAGGGGACCAGGAAACCAGAAGCCAGCCGAAGCTACCAAGACAAATTCTACTCGAGCGAGAAATCTGGATCTCCCTACCAAGATTCGCCGATTATTCGAATTCAGAAGATCAACGACCCGGGATACGGGGACCAGAGGAACAAGGACTTCCACGACGCGTATCGAGGGCCGAACGAGTTCACCAACCAGTTCCAACCCTCCTACGCGCCCACTGTACCAACAGTCACCACTACAACAAGGAGGTTCTATTCTCCGACCGTTCCCACGATGTTCAGATCGTCTACCTTGGCGTACAACAAGCTGGATCAGGTGATAGACAGCTCTGACTATTATTTCTCACGCGGTAGGACCAACAGTTTCGTCACTCCCCCTACCAGAGTCTTCACCAGCCGAGGCAAGGATTTCGCTGGAACAGACTCGAGGAAGTCGGTGGCTGTCCCATCGAGGAAATCCAGCCGAGACGACGAGTACGTCAAGCAGGAGAGTTACGAGTACGATTACGAGGACACCGACAACCAGGAACGAACGAGGGACGAACGACCGAGCGAGAGATTCCAAGTGAGAGTCCTCGACGACTTCAACGACCTCAATCGTACGAAAGCGGCGAGAGGGAGTTCTCTGTTCGAGGAGGTTTACGAACGATTCAGAGAGAGGAACAGGGACCAGGAGAATTTCGATTCCGCGGACGATATCGATGCCAGGGGTAGCATCGGTCTTGGCCAAGCGTTGCGCCAGTCTTACAGAGGGATCTCGGTTCGCCAACAGAATCCGGTGAAAGTCGAGACGAAGGTCCGCGACGAGTTCAACTCTCGCGGTGAAGAGGTGAAGCACACGCTGGCCAAACCAGAGTCCGATGCGAAGAAGGAGGGAACGACCGAACAGTACCAAAGAGACGACGAAGAAACGAGAAAGGAAGGAATTCCGAGCAATTCGAACGGTTTTATATCGACCACCACACCGTCGGTTATCGAGAGCACCATAAAAGCGAGCACCAGTCCACGCGAATCCTCGCACACTTCCAATTCCAGCGACGCGAACTCTGAATATTCAAACGAGAGTGAGAAGGGATCCATCGGCGGAGATTTCCAAACGTCTAGACCAGCCGAATTCTTAGAACCGCCCTTAGAAAGAGCGCAGAGCAAGTTTCAGATAAAGGTGCCGGATCTGTTCGAAGGATCTACTTTGTTGATTCGTTACACGGCCCAGCACGATGCGCCTTACTCATCGAGCACGTCTCAGCCGCCAAGCTTCGAAGGCGCTGATCCCGACGATTATATCGATCAGTCTACTTCTCTCGATGGAATCGCAGCGATAACGAGCAACTACAGGGGCAAAGAGATCTCTGGAGACTCCAGTTTCAAGAATCATCCCAGCACAATGGCTAGCATCTTGGTATTGTCTACTGGATCGTGGCTCTCTTCCTCTCTTCAGGATCGATCGAATGCCAGAATCGCCGCGAGAGATCACATTGCAGGCAGAGCCGAAGGGGACGCACCATTGACACTCAAGAACGACACCGAGAACGAAGGGAAAATCGGTAGGATCGAGCTTGAGTTTAGCGCGGACGATGCTCCGAGTTCCGAGGAACGCTCGACGCGGCGATTTGACGAAACTCCGCCGTCTCCAGCGACTGAATCCATCGACGTCGAGTCTTCAGTCGCAGATGAAACAAAGAAGAAAACATCGGACGAGTCGAGAGCTTCGCTCGGATCCAGCAGGCCGGAGACTCTGAGGCACATCGAGGAGAGTATCGATAGGAACAACTCGCCTTATCAGGTGACGTTGACGATGAACAGAGACGAGGAGCTGGTGCCAACCGGGCGTGACATAATCAGCAAACTGATAGCCCGGCAGGGCAAAGAGACCTCGAGTTTCAGCGACGAGATACACGAATTGGAGATAATCAAGTCTGTAGAGCCGGAGTTTCGTAGAACCACGGAGTCGCGTACGACCGCTGTGAACATTTCGGACGTCAGAGGCGAGTCTATGCTCGGAACGAACGACACCACCGACATGGATGTAACTGACGTCAAGAGAAACGATCCGAACATCGTCAGTCTTCTTCAGTTGATGTCGGAGTTGTTGAAGCTAGACCGAGTTCCTCGCCCGTTCTCCCTGTCGGACGTTCAGAGTTCGAGGCCGAGCGTCGCGTCGCTGGGAACCATCGCCAAAGACGTGAACTCGAACGCGGAATTCGAGCAAGACGCGGCGACCATCGCCTCTCAGGAGACCACTTCCACGGAGCTGAACTTGGAAACTTTTGCCACACGGTCGAAAGAGAAGATTCTGGGTCAGCTGGAGGAGAACTTCGGAGAGCCTCTTTACAGAGATGGTAAACGAAGCTCCCTCGAGCTGCCTGAGAAAGAGAGATCGGTTGGGTTTCAGGCTGCGGTTTCTCTCGAGAGAGCGAACGAGCACGAAGGAACACCGACTGCTGGCGAGACGATCTCGTCGACGAGTTCCAACGTGGACGTCGAGTCGACGACGGCGGCCACGGCGAATGTCACGTCCACCACGGAGTCTGAGGTGAAGACTGTGGTGAAGACGGAATTTGTCCCGTCGATTGGATTCTCCCTTGACACCGACGAGGGCAGAGAGGAGTACGTGGAGGCTGTTCTAGGTGGTTTGATCGAGCCGCAAACGGTGGAAAGTGTGAAGGGAGAGACCGTTCTGGAGGAGAAATCGGTGAATGGACCGTTTTCGAGAAAGAACGAAACAACGAGAAGCGTCTCAGGAATGATTTGAAGGTGGTTTCTTAGGATCTTCTAGGAATGAACTTAGGTTTAGAATGAAATCTGTGATGTCCTGCTGCTTCTTTTTTCCTTTTCTCTCTTTTTTTTTTTTTTAGATTTCTACGACCGTTTTTCCTTCTTTTTCTTTCCAATTCCGTGACCATCTTTCTTTCTCTTGTTCTTTTTAACTCTTGACACTCTATTTCCTTTTTCCGAGTTCGAGACTTTGGCGTGAGAAATTGACGTTCCTTCCTTGAAAATGTAATGGATCTTTGAACGATTGTGAGAATAATTAAATATGTTGATTGTCACAGTGATCAAGGTGTAATTGGTACTTTTGTTTATATATAATGATCGCATCATCTTATTTGACTTACGTCGAAATAATCTTGCATCAGTTTATCTGAATGAACAAATAATTTTTCTCAAAACTGCTTCATTATTTTATTAACAAACATTTAACATTTCGTGTCTCTAAAATAATTTTACACGCTTGTAGAATTAATCATTTCGTATACAACTATGAAATATTTTGCAACGAATTTGAATTAAAATACAATTGGAATGTTTCAATTAAAATGAACATCATTTACAAACAGACTAGACACTAAACACTACGAGAACTACGATTTCATTGCACTTTTATTAATATAATATTTTGTCAAAATTAAACAATAAGCAAAACGTATTTCGCGTGACGGTCAACGTGTCGATGGTTCATGTTACTATTACATTTACGTTGTAAGAAAATCTTTTAATCTTTTAATCTCTTCGTTGACAGGATTGTGAAGTTTGACGCCTGTTTGAAATTTACGTTCCTTTCTTTTTTCTCTTTGAAAATTTTAACGAGCCTCCGGGTGAAAGAAATTGTGATGTAATAATTGAATGACGGAGATTAATGGCTCATGTTACCATTTACGTCGTAAGCGTAAAAGAAGGGCTGATGTATGATTAGTTTCGTTAATTTCTTTTTTTAAGATATTTTACTTGTAATTGCAATTAACATAGCGATGAATTATTCATAAATAAATTGTGGACTTTCGTGCAAGTTTTCCACTTTCGAGAATACAATTGAAAAGATAGAAATCCAGCGAAAAATCGAGAACGAATTTTAAATATTTTACGTATTCTATCGTTCTGTGTAAATTCATATTTTAACATTTTTTAAAATATATATTTAATAATATATATATATATATATATATAAAAAATTCGCAGTTCACTCATAAAATTTCCTTAAAGTTTCAGGACAGAGCTACTTCTGTAACACATGTGAAATGATAATTATGTTATCATTGTTAATAAGATCTGTTGTTGTGTCTTTTAGAAAGAATATCGTTACTGTTCGATAATAAAGAGTATATATATATGTAATACATACTAACTTGATAACTTACCAATGACAAGGAACAGGGTTTCGATAATGAAAGCTACATGTAATACATAGATTTGTAGATGTATGCGTTAATGTATGTACGAGTGTGCAAGAAGCAATAGTGATTATTAAACAATACTTTGTAAATGTAACCCGACACTTTAATGACTTTTAAATATATCCTTTCGTTGTGAAAAGAAGAGCTACTTTCTTACTTGTCATTTTTTTTTTTCAAATTCTTCTAAACCTGAGAACTCAATAGTTGACGATGAAAACCTAGGCACTAAAAGATCAAAAATTTAAAAATTCCTTAAAAAGAGATTTTTAATTTAAAAAAAAGAAAATTGAGATGGTACATGTAAGAAAAAAAAGATATTGAAATTGGCAAAAATAGGGAAGTATGATAGATTTAATTCGTAGCTGAAATCTTTGAAAACTTGAGACTAGAAATCTGAAGTTTATACGTGAAAAAAAAGTTCAAAGATTTAGAAATTACGTATTTTCTTTGAAATTTTCAGAAATCCATGAGAAAAGAAGATGGAAAAATCAAAAGGATCAAGCAATTTTGAACTATAGACATTTAAAAGAAATTCGAAAAATTCGCAAACTCAGAATTAATTTCACGTGATCGTGACAAAGTTCGATATTGATAAAATTTTCCTTATCTTTTTCCTATTCGCGAGAACACACTGTTTATTCGTCATGACAACGTCGATGTATCAACTCTCGTAATTCGTGCGCGTTTAATCGATTTCGCAGTGTAAAGTGCTAGGTTAAACCGCTCGAATCACATTGAAAAGAGTTCACGAATCTTGCCAAACGTTTAAAGTAATCAAACGATCATCGTTTCGAATCGAAACGACCATAAAATATTAGGAATACGTCGTAAATATTTCGCGCAGCGTGTTGAAATCACCCAGATCGTTGAATATTCTTTGAAAGGACACGATTACGAAAAACCTGTAGATCGAAGATAAAAAATATGGCCGAATCGGAAATAGAGATTCTAAAAACTGACCTCGAAGACGAAGATGACGAATTGGACGACGTTACTCTAGCAAGCAGACATTCCGTGATACACATGGACTATCGGTAACGAAATGAATTTTTCTGCAATTTAATAAACGTATACAGAGTGTGCAGAGTTAATAAATATATTGCACCGACGCACACTGGTAAAGATTGAATATTTTTCTCACCTTGTCTGTATACGCAAGCATGAGACGAACAATTAATTTCGATAGGTTGAGATGGATGCGGGACAAAGTGGTGAAATTTTTGGGCATACAAGGCCACGAGCTCCTCTTCTACAAACTACTAAATGTAAAGTAATCGAACAATCTTTAGATGTTCCTTGACCATTCTTGGAGAGTAAAATATACTTCTAACACTAAGTTCTCGTTTGAAAGCAAGTATAAATTATAAACTTTATGTTGTATTTGTTTGAAATATATAGGAAAGTAGAATTAGCCGCTTTAATTTGTTTATATTTTCTTTAGAAAATTGTTTCTTCACAGTGTTGTAAACTTTCCTATAAATATTCTTATTTTCGTCGTTGTTTGATCTTTATTGTTCACGAAACTTCTTTCGTCCTACTAACATATTTATTGCGTTATAAACTCTCCACTATTTTTATTGTTACGAAATTGTTAAAATATTCATTGCATTACAAGATTTTACGTGTTTTTGTTATTATTAAATTTGTACTATTACAAAACTATTTATCATATTATTAAAATATTTATTGCGTTTACAAACTTTCTTCTATTTTTACTATCAGAAAATTTCCTCCCGTTGTTAAAATATTTGTTTGTTTACTTATTTTACAAAACTTTCTCATTATTGAAATACTTATTGCATTATAGACTTTCTTTCTATTTTTACTGTAATAAAATTTCTTGCTATGATTGAAATATTCATATATATTCTATTCTTACTATTATTTTTACTATTGTCCTACAATTTTCTATTTTTTACTCTAAAATTTTCTACTTTGATCGTCCTGCAGTATAATATTAATAGAAATTACTGATCCCTTTCTCCTAAAATGTGACGTTGTTTCACAATTTCTTATTTATTTTTTCGCTCGTCCATCGTCGAAGAGAAATTGAACATCTGATTCGAAACAACAGGCGAACAATCGATACTACGAGGATAAGGTATTGAACTTTCTGATACTGGACCTATACGGTGTGACCGATCTCGAGAGAAAGGTGATCTTTTTCTACTGCACCTATTTCACCGAGATCACTCACGAAGAGGTCCCGGTCTGGGAAAGTAAGTAGTCTCTCGAAGAAGCAATTACAGAGAACGCGAGTCATATAGATTACTGTATTAATTGGAACGACGTAAAACTGGTTTGTTGTTGTTGTTGATGGATGATAGGCAAGCACAGTGTCAGTAAATTGGCCGCGTTAACGACACTGGCGATGAAAGGGAAAAGTCGTAAGTTGAATGGAAGAATCTTTGTATATTCATTATGCACGAGTTGATAGATTTTCTTCCAGCTTCGAGTGATTTTTTATAATGCACAGTAAATTTCGTGACAATTGACTCTTTAAATAAATCAGTACCACGATCATTAAATTCGGTCTAATTTAATTTGCCAAGCAATTTTATTACGCTTCGACCTTATTCAATTTTATTTCATATGTAGTTTGGCGAATTTTATTATTTCACTCTTTCGATAGTTCGCTGTTATAATGAATCTTCAAATTTGTCACGCACAGTTTTGCCGAATTTCCACGCCACGTTCCACCCTTTTGATAATTATTGTTTTCGATAAATTGTACTTCCAACATTTCATTCTATTCACCTGAGAGTTCGTAATATTACACTTCAACCTACGTCGCGCACAATCTGATAGATTTTGTTGACACGAAGCACGCGCATTGTTACTTGCAATCTTTCTCAGCGGACGTTTTGGACATCTCGCTAGTCTTAAGCACAGTTAGACGACGTTTCATGAGACAGGAACCTTATTATTGTAACTTCGACGACAGGAAAGACGGAAAAAATTTCGGAGGGGAAGAAGAGAAGAAAGCCCAAGAAAATCAAGCCGAAAGCAACGCCCTCGAAGATCGATCCGCTCGCGCTGCTACGTCAAATCGAAGAGTCCGCGATGGCAGTTCAATCGGAGAAAAAGTCGACAATGAGCGAAGAGATCGAAGATGGAGATGAAGAGGAGGAAGAGGGTGAAGGGGAAGAGGAAGAGGGCGAGTCGCAAGAACCGAAGGAGTCTGGAACTGGCGATACGATTGCCAAAGAGAGAGATCCAGAGAAAAATGACGTTACTGGTAAATTACACAAATGTCACTGTACTTGGAACATAAACCATATTCGATCGAACGAGCAACATTTTCTTTGGACATTCCTCGATTCTTTTCTTCGATTTTTAGACAGTCCAGATTTCGTGCCACCGCCGGAAGAGAGGCACAAATATGTTCAAACAAAGGTATTCAATTACACGTAAAATATTTGGATGATTTTATCTAACATACATATTATTTACCTATAATATATATATTAAATAATAAAAAAACATATTAACTAATAAACGAAATTAACGAATAATAAAGAAATAAAGTAAAAATAATTAATCAATAAAATTAATATATATTAACTGATATTAATATATTAATAACATTCATAATAATACTGGTATTTATTACTTGTGATATTATTTGTGTAATGGTATTAATGGTAGGTGCTACACTTAAATTTTGTTTTGTTTTAAATCACCGCTCTGTTCTATTTTAAATATGAAAGTATTTAATATGAAAATATTTAAATACGAAAGGAACAAAAGTGAAATCTATCGTATAGAAACTGGTGCAAAAAGTGCGGAAAGTGCCGATCCTTCACATGATATGCGGCGAAGTGGATGGTAGCAGAACAGACTTGCAAGACGTTACTCTGTTTTACTTCCTGAGAACAACCGACGAAGGTGTACCAAACTTCGATTCTTACACAGATTGCGAAGAGCAGATTACGAGTTATTTGGTCGTCGGTTCTCTCCAAGGAAAGTTTTTAGTTTCTTTAAACAGAATGCTCGTTGAGGTAAGAAGATATCTTAATAATTTCTTAATAATTTTTCAGTGATTTTGCAATTTAATTTTCTTCGTAATTTACAACGACCACTTTGCCTAGAAATTTCAAGCGGCAAAGCGTGACCGTCGCATCAATTTAAACAACGCGCCGATAAATTCATTTCAGTTAATATTGCTATTGACAAATTACACACTGACAAAGTTCCTCTTGTAAAAATTTTTCTGTTGGGTAAATTTTTATCGATATTCGAATGATCGTACCATGTGTCCTTTTAATAGTTAACTCTTTAATTAAATTACATTTTCAACATCTCGAGCGAACCAATTGTGCAAAGTTTAACAGATTATATATCGTATGACAAACTTTTAAAAAGCATACTTTGATCAAATTTCTTTCGTAAACTTCTTAACTAAATTAAATTTCTTTGGTAAACACTACTTCTATATCTTTGCATTTCTTTCAAGATTTACGTTCTTCTTCATTTTGTAACTGAATATTAAATATATTTGTAATTATCAAATAAATATTTTTTTGCAGTTATGAAAATTATTGTTTTTCTTTTTCTTTAGGTGTTTAAACCGTTAGTTGAATCCCAATTCAGAGGAGTGCAGTTTGTAGAAGCACCGAGAGAAGAGGAGCCTGAAGAAAAGGAACATGTTCCAAGTTGGACAGACATCATAGCAACTCGAGTATATAATACATTTTCTCGAATAAAAAGATATTGAATTTTATCTAAGAAAAGCGTTATACAAGTAAATTTGGTACCTGTGGGATTTTTATGCGTTTATGGGAGAGTTTATTGGAGGATCTCGTAGAATATGAAATACATTATATATATTACAATAAGATGTTATAACGTCATAATTTATCGATTTCATTTATTATCGACAGAATACTAAATTCCAATTTTTTTCTTTTTTTTTAATTATCAGAGCTCGATGTTCAGAAAACCGTCGGAATTTCGCAGAATATCGATTGTAGCGGCGAGGAAGGAGGCTGAGGAAGGCGACGAGGACGAAATATCATTGTCGAGCGTTCTATCACCGAGGGAGACCAAAAGCAGGATAAAATTGAAACGGAAAACCCGCAAGATAGAGATCAGTTTCGACCAAGCTAAAAGCATAACGGAACCCAAAGCGCCGGAAGTACTTTCCTCGCTCGATCAGAATAAAAACGACATTCTGTCGTACTTGGATAAATTAATATCCGGCGTGGAATGGTTAGTATATAGTATAGATCACGTTACAATTGTTTATAGATTTTTACATGTTACACGCAACGTATATGCACTTTGTATAATTTCGCAATTTGAAATTTTTTGCAAATGCATGCACATTAACGACTGTTAAACAATGATCAACGACACGGCATGTGGCTCGTGGCTGGTTTTCAATCAGGAGATAATTGAATTTATGTTATTACTTTCAGCAGCAATGAAATTTGAAACGAGTGAAATAAATTAAACTGAATAAAATATATATCGGGACAAAGTACAAATATTTGCTATATCTGTTGTACTGTTCTTAAATGCTGTGTTTAAAGGATTCATTGCAACAAATCAAATATCCCATTTCTAAATTTATATTGTTCTCTTTAATCAATCTATTAATCAGTTCTATTTCATTTTAATTTATATAACGATTGTAATTTGAACGTTGGAAACAATACTTTACGATTTATAAAATCATCTGATAAGAATATTCAATCTCAAAGAAAAATTGTTCTACAATTTTTACCACGAGTTATGTATTATCTAAAGTATAAATGAATCAAAAGAAGAAAACTCGAGGGACAAGTTTCACTGTTTGTTAGGACCCTGGAACATATTGAGGGCGATATTTTGCTAACAATGCCGAATATACCGGAACTCGATGATCCGAACGTTACTGACGAGATGTTGGAGAAGAACACGGAAGTGATCGAGCAACTGGAAAACGTGATTATGTCGTGGGGCGTGCACATAGAGAAGGTGAATGAAATTTCTCTTTCAAGCAGATCGATCTCTGATATCTTGATAGACATGAAAAAATAAAAGGAATAAATATTACAATTAATACGTTGTTACAGGTTTTGGAATCGTTCCAAACGAAAGTGCCACTGGGTAAAGGACCATTAGCAGAGTATGATTATTGGAAGGATCGAGAAGTAGGATTGTTAATGCTGGTGGAACAATTGAAAACTCCTATGGCCAAGAGAATACTGCATTTACTGAGCAACATCTTCTCACCGATCGCCTCCAACTTTGAATACTTTTATTCAGACTTGTGGAAATGTTATTCCGAAGCCAGGGATAATAATCGTTTCCTGCAGACTATTTTGAGGCACCTTAAGGTAAATTGATCGAGACTTACTGTCATAAATAATATTCAAATGATGTTGGAATATTTCAAATATTGCACACAATATAGTGCAATTAAATATTATGAAGTAATATAAAGAATATAGTAATATAATATATTATATTATTAATAATATAATAATATAATACAAATATTACACAGTAAATGAATATTTTCAATATAAAATAGTAAGCAAATAATTAAATATAATTGTATATATACTCGAACAATAATTATCATCATTAAAGAAAGTTATATTTGACACTATTTAATAATAAGCCTCCATTAACTTTCAATTATTTTATCGAATAAGATGAAAGTTACTTAAAATGAAAAAAAAGAAAATTTTAATCTACGATTGGTATAATAATCAAGACGTATTACAGTTGACGACAGAGTCGGATTGCTTCAAAACAATCAGCCAAACCATTCCTCTGCTGATGGAAGGAATAAGAATGATTTGGATCCTCTCGAGCTATTACTCTCAAGAGGAGAAGATGGTGGGCCTGATGGAAAGAATATCATGGCAACTTTGCCAAACTGTCATAAAGCATTTGTCCATTAACGATCTCTTCAAGTAAGTTACGATAATTACTTTCAATCTTTCAAAATTACAGACTGTTTACAGACATTAGTAAACGCACGCAACTTAAAACTAAACGCACGCAACTTAAACCTAAAATGTACGCAACTTAAAACTAAATGCACGCAACTTAAAGTTAAGATGCACGCATCCCACGATGTTCCTACAATATCCCTCGTCGTCCCACGATGTCCCTGCGATATCCCTCGTCGTCCATCGGTGACCCGCTGGGGGCCCAAAAGTTTACTTATCAACTAATTGTTCCTACAGTTCAATTTAGATCGTGAAATGAAGAAAGGCAAGAAATTTTCACGGTTTAAACTGAACTGCAGGTTGCGTAGTTCTTAGCTTGATATCGTTTTACAAGCATTAAAGTTTGTAAAACTCTAACGTTTGTAAAAAGATATCAATTACCAGGTCTCACCACGAGGAGGTGACTACGCACGAGACCCACCCGGTCCCTAATCCCAACCACCCTCCATTAACATACATAAAAATAACTCTGCATTCTTAAGGAATGCAGAGATTTTAGTCTACTTGGCCCGGGGTTACGAACAAAGGAGACAAACGTCCCATAGTTCATTCTCAAACTTAAGTCTAAATCTTAACTCTAAAGCGCTCCATGAGATTGAACTATGGAACTCTGTCTCTCGAACAACGATCGCGTTAACAGTCATACAATTTATACACTCATACAATCATACATTACATACATTATATACATTACATACGATCATACGTTACATACATTGCGTACAGTCATGCATCACATACATTCCA